GGTAATAGTTTTCCAGCTTACCTCTGAAATGCCTCTCCCAGTTGTTTCTTTCTATCTTCATCACAAGAGTTCTTCCTCACCTCTTACCTGAGTTGTTAAGGTAACTTTCTAAATAACTTCCCAACACAGAAGTGATTGTTAATCTTTTTTCATTCTATTAATGAACATTTATTAACCCTACTATTCATTTTCAAAGCTCTTATGCTGGGCATTTGGAATGCAATAATAATATATGATTGCTGCTCTTTGCTTCTCATTATTGCAGTAGAAATAGGTGCTTGCCTAGATAATTACCAGTCAAGGATATGAGTTAGAAAATTGAGATTATACTATGGTAGTCCAGAATTGAGAACAGTTAATGCTGCTGCAGGTTAATTAATTATAAAGGATGAGGAGGAATTTGATCTACATTTTGAAGAAAGAGTTTTGCAGGTAAATAATGGGAAGAATAGCACTCAAAGTCATGGACTGATCTAAGTACAAATTGTATTTGGGGGAACTGTAAGTGCTTTAGTGTGGCACAGAGAAAGGGGTGAAGACAGAGTTATGAAGTGGTTTGTGTGCCAGAATAAGGAGTTTGGGCTTTATCCTATAGTAAACAGTGTGCCATGAGAAGTCTTATGAAGGGAGGGTGACCCAAGGAAATCTATGTTTGAGAAACATAACCTTGGTGGGATGAGGAGGACGGACTAGAGGAAGGAGGGGATAAAGGTAGAATGTGTAGTTGGAAAGTTATATTGGAAGAGTTCTTTCATTCATTGTGCATATTAAAGTCCCTGTTACATATCAGGGATACAATAAAAAATAAGTTGTTCTTGCCTTACAGAAGCTTAAAGTCAGTGGGGTCAGATGCTGGAGAGTGTAAGGGTCAGGGAAACAAAGAGGCAATGAGAAACTCTACTAAAGCTCAACATCCTCCTAGCAGCATGCAAATTCTTCAGTGATCAACCTACTTTGTGGCATCATTTCCCAGACTATGTTAGGTAACAGCAAAATTATACAACTCAGGGTTTCCCATACATGTCTTTTGCTGTCCTGCATCTTTTAATACTATTTACTCTATCGGGAAGGCAGACTCTTTCTTCTTCCATCTTCGTATCTAGCCTTTTCTAGTCTTAATATCCATAATTATTTTCACTATTGGAACTGAAAACAGAATCCTAATTGATGAATTTCCTAATTAGACATTTCTGATACAGATATTACAGAACTCTCTGAGGTCAGAATATTTTTATCTATAGCTGAGCATGGATATCATTCAGTAAACATTCATGAATTCTCATGGAAGACATGCAATTTCGAAGAGTCTGTGAGAGTAAGGATTGACAAAGTAGAAATATTGGTCCTAAAGTTTTCATCATGATGGTTTTAGACAGTGGGACTTTTGCAATTGGAATGTGTTATTCACTTTAGGTTCTGTTTCTCCTGGGTGTATTTAATTTAAAAATCCTGTAAATTTTTATTATTAAAATCACACTGAATATTTATTAAACAAACATTAAGAAGTAGAAAAGAGTACAAAGAAGAAAATTAAAAACACAATTTCATATCCCAGA